AGTAACCTTTGCACTTCCTTCAAAGAGGAAAGTGGGAACCAGACCACACACTAGATGAGATTTTTTAGAATTATATATTTACAAATATAACGAAGTAGTCACAATTATGATGTTCTCTGAAAACAGCAGACAAGATTTATATAATCATCTAGTTAGACCTTCTAGATGAGAGCCATCTAAATGGTAGACTTTCCATTATGTCTCTGCCACAAGTACATTTTGCCCACATCTTTCCAAAGATTGTAAGAGCAACTATAAGATTCCTACCTGAATGCTAAACAAACAACAGCCACAAAAACATACATTCAAAGCACATGTGAGTGCCGGAAAAGGCCTTTCAGACCTCTTGCTTCAAGATGTATGCTGACAGCCCATAACAAATAAGATGAAAATTTTCTGCAGGGCAAGGATATCCCTTAATTGCTGGGTTTCTTCCACTTTTCTCTAAGGCAGCAGAGCTGGGTGTCACCCTCAGAAAGGATAACGACCCAGATAAAAGGATAGCCCAAACCATCCTAGCAGCACCTGCCCTCCTTACCCTTAAAGTGCTTCTCCTTTTGCATTAACACTTATTATACCATTTCTTAAAGACAGAAGCTACACCTTGTGCAAATAATCTGATTTCAGAGTACACTATGTAAGAATTAGATCAATAAAATGAAAGCTGGAAGAGGTGGGTATCTCCCAAAATGAAGTGCTAGTGTCCATCCAGAATGCCTTCAAAATCCTAAGAGTAGCTGAAAGGAATCACCACCAACCCAGAAGGATTTGAGGCGGTCAGGTTGTAAAGATGCCACAGTGAGACTAAAACTAACCCAAATTAAAATTATTTCTTCTCTTCCTGCTAATTTTAAAATGGATGAATTGTACCTAAGACCCATTTTCCATTCTCTAAAGTTCAGTAAACTTTTTGTAGTGAAATACCAGATTTTTCCCTTCCTTGCAGGCAAATTATGCCTAGATGACAGTTCACTTTTAAAAAAATTGTGCAAATATATTTCAATAAATGGACTACACTCCCCACTTAAATTAAAAAGGTGGCATGACAAATAGATGAAAACATGAATCCTCATTAACACTTCTGGTAACCTTAGCCCAGCTGTGCTTTCACTCATCAAGCTGTCCTTCACATCCGCAAGCAGAAGTGAGAAACGCTCAATACAACCTACACACTTTGTAAAAGACATTATTTCCACAGTAAGTAGGAAGATCAGAGTCTTGTTTAACTTTGAAAATTTATTCTATTAACACACAAGACATTATTTTGTACCCAAGAAATCTTCCTTCAATCTGAAGAAGCAGCAGTTTCCAAATTTTTTTCATTTTGACTTGTTTCAAGGGAGTAATCCTTGCAACAAACCAAAACCAACATTACCAAACAGTGGCATGGAGTAGTCAAGAACATATTATACAACCAAAGTGCCTTCAGCTTCTACTAACAGCTTTGGAAACCGCTCAAGTACAAAGAACAACCATTCACACAGAGAAAGCATTCTAAATAGTAGATAATATGGGGAAGTGACAAAAAAGCATCACCGTACGAAAAATGAAAATAAATCATTCACATAAATCATTAACAACATTGTTGGCTCTTCATATACTGCACAGGAACGATATAAAAGTATATTAATGTTTAAAGAGGCAATAAGCAGCACAAGAGAATAATGAAGACTAATATGACTTGTAGTGCAAAAGCTCCCAAAGGCCCTGTTCTGGATGGGAGTCCCACAGCACTGTGTACAGCAACAAAGAAACTACACACCCCAAAGGCAATTAAGCTAAAATAAAATTAACTTGGATATTAATCTGATGTGTCTAATGGCTCTGTTTTTTAGATGTACTATGTTTTTGGAGTCTGCACTACCACTTCAATCTAGAGAAAAAGGGGATTACACTCCGCTTCCGACAACCTGATTCAGGAACATTAAGGGATGCTAAGGAAGGAAAAAAAAAAAATCACCCTCTAAATCTCAATTATTAAGTGCTTGGCTCACAGAAATGCTGCTTATCCTGCAGAAGGGGAAAAAAAAAGATTTTTTTTATTTTTAAGTAGTAAATAGCAGATTCCCCAATTCTGTAACTTCTTTTTCCCCTTTTTCCTTTTTTTCTTTTTTGAAGAAGCTGGAATTTAGTGTTTAATGTCTATAAAATTCACCTTCATCTACAAAGAATTTTCCAAGTCCATTTCCATCAAAATATTAGCCTTTCATTTGCATTATGCATCCTTTATAAAACTTTTTTATTTTTTAGGAGAACGTTGCAAGAAAATGGCTGGAAGTCATCCCAGAAGCTACTGCGTTATATTTCCTCACTGTAATTCAGGAGAAAAAGATACTGTACTTTATTCTAGACTGGGAGACAGAAAAGAACAAATCATTGTGGATTCAGCATTTGCTGCCAGAACACCAGAAACGCTTTCTACACAGCAGGAACATGGTTTTTAAAAAACACATCCAGAATTATTTGTCCAATTGAAAAGATTTAATCAATTACCAACAAGTTTTCACTTTTGCTAAGTTGGAGGTCAAAGAGAGACTATAATCACAGTTTATTTGTAAAGTGATTAACATCAGTGCATGAACTTATGCAAATACTTGGTGAAAAAAGGTAGCAAGAGGAACCTTGCTCTCCAACAATCAATACAGCAGCAATGTGGGAAAGCCTATTATTGTCATAGACAGTGATAGAAAGAGGAATCCAAAATAACATCATGAGAACAGCCTTGATGACCATTCTGTTTAGAGATGGAAATACGGTAACAATTACCAATTGTACTTTCAGAATCACTCCACTTTTAAAAGCTCTAAACATGAACATACCTAAAACCCAGCATTCAACATTAAATACTGAAAATTAAGTTAATACATCCTACTCAACCTTAATCCAGTAATACCTTTAAGTCCTGATGCACCTAATTGCAAAGCATTGCTGTAGCTAAAGATTATCCCAAGCCAGATAGATCCTAAGAAATCCCTTAAGCCCCCTTCTTCCAGAGGGATGAAGCAAGACCTGAAGGTAACAACATATGGAAAATGCATGAGAAAGTAGCAGCCTAACAGAGATACTAGAAAGCAGGGCAGCATCCAGAAAAATTAAGCTCTTAATAGAAAGCTTCCATTTAAACTGCATTCAGTGTCGGCTTTTTCAGTTATTGTGACTCATGCAGCAGCTAAAGCCTGAATCAAACCCTGTTTACACAGCTTGGAGCTCAGGTGCACAGCACAGAGAGCCCAGCGTAGCCAAGAGCCACCTTGAGGACAAAGCTGATAAAACCAAAAGCTGATTTTCTTGCTAGGAAGAATAAACCCATAGAAAAATCATGTCTTTTTACGAACAACAAAACATCTAAACAGCAGCAGAAGTGGCTCCGTGCAGCGTGTTTATATGCACAACCTGGTAGCATCCTTGGGTCGCAACATCACTGGATGCTGGTGTGCGAAGCATCAGGGGTGAGGCCAGGGACACAGGGCTCTTGCCACACTCGACAGGACACTCGAGGCTGCTTCTAACCCACCTCCACTTGTTTGCTATCACACACTGCTCTCTCCATTGCCTAGAGCACAATGTGGTGATCTAGTGCACAGAGAACTCAGCGGAGCAAATGCAACGTCACCGACACAGACCTTCTTAAGTCTTTTACTATCCTCTGAAATTGATCTTTGAGCATAGCCTGAAGAGCAGCTCAGAGCCTGGAACCCCCAACACGTACGTATACCAAATTCCCTCCAACCAAATGCCTAATATCCATTAACACCTTTGAGATACCTTGACTCCCTGGTGCTCTTTGCATCCTCAGCAACTGTACCCATTAACAGCCAAAAGTCAGATTAACCTGCTTAGCACAGCTAACATTAGTGTTAACACTGTAGAAACGTGTTTAAATTTGACACTGAGTAATTAAACTAAATCATATGTATTTAAAGTGCATTGTTCCAAAGGCACTCTGAAATCACTGCAGAGCTGTAGATAATTATGTATAGCAGTCAGCGCACTGGAAAAAGAAGATGAGGAAATGTTCCTGACAAAGTGAAGGGAGCTGGTGTGCTCTGAACATAATCTGAAAAAATAATACGGGTGTTGCATAGCACATAACCTATAAATTAAGCTGTCAATAAAGAGAGAGAGAGAGAATAGGGGAAATAAAGGTGAAAGAAGAAAAATAGCTATTTCTTCAAATGAAGCTCAGCTGCTGAATCCCTTTCTATAAATTTATTTGTATATATTTTAAAATCCAAGATTACTTTGTTCTAAACATTTTTTCCTAGATGTCAAAATCAGCACAGAGGACCATGTATTTCTTGATACTGATTTGACAGGCTACTATATTATACTTTTTATGCTTACTGGTATGCTACAACACTTAATTTAGAAAAAACCCAAAGCTGTGTAAAAACAAAGTTGTATCTGTAGAATATTTTCACGAAACATATTGTTTGGCAGCTAATAGCCCCTAAAAAGGAAAAAAAATGGTGGGTGAGTAATAGTTCTACCGAAAATGAGTAATGAGGAAGAGGAAGGAAAGGGTAGCATGTGAATCTGCAGCAAAATATAACGTAACTATTGATCTCTGCAATTGGTAGCAGGTTGTCTTTCAGATCACAGGTACTTTTATAGTTATACAAACGTCCTTGCTTGCTCAACAGTGAAGGTCTTAAAACAATTGACCTGATTTTTTTTTCTATTTTTTTTGCAGGGATTGGGGGCTGCTATTCAATCTGTACATTGGATAGCAATTACCAAGAAAAAAAAACATAGAAACAAGGAATAATAAATGATGTTATAACAGAAAATTACAGCATTAGCATAAGTTGAATAAGCAAACTTACAGCAGCGCAGCAGATTAATAACAGTTACATCAACATAAAATGTGGCAAAAGACAGTTTTAAAAATGCTCTTACACAACAGAAAATTCAAAAAAGGCAGAAGGCTCTTATGATGCTGAACTTATAGAGACAAAATGAACTATCGGTAATGCTGCCGAGAGATGTATGCATCTTACCCGTGAGTACAGCTTTTGCTGAAGGGTCTGCCAGATCCAGCGCAGATTTCCCATCGGTGTTCCGAATGTTTGGATCAGCTCCGTGCTGCAGCAGCACTGTGCAGGGAAAGCAGAAACAGTATCTTACCTCAGGGATACACAGATTATTTACTGTTAAGTGTCTCCTTGGCATCATGTAGGCATAAACACACATTGCACAATTTTCTTTATTTTTCCTTCTGGTTTTTTTTTTTAGCTGACTCTGGGATATGGTTTTGCACTCTTGCATTATTTCAGCAGACAATGGTGAAGCTGCCATTATAGGCAGACAAGTACAGAAATAATCACAATCAGCTAAAATATGAAGTGTGCTCATGCCAAAATAGAATCATTGAACAAATATATTAGTCCTTCTGTTTTTTTTTTTTTTTCTTCCCCCCCCCCCCTTTTTTTTTTTTTTTGTTAAGCACTGCAGCAAAGGATCTTCTCCGGAGTCAGGCTAAGTTGGCAAGTTAAGATATAGTAAGATCACATGACCTCGCATGATAAACATGAACCCTGAATCTCTTTTGCAAGACTCAGTTTTTGGGCTCCTCCTGACAGCTAGCTGGGAAGCTGTGCATTCACTGACTCATACTGGGAAATCTGCTGTGGAACCTGCTCCTGCCTTTACTACCACTACTGCTGCTTGTTACCACTCCTGTTCCTTTTCCTGCTGAACATCCCAAGTCACCCCGCCTCTGTAAATCAGTAATACTCCTGCCTCTCTCTGCCTGCTCACTTGCGCACAAGGTCTCAAGCACAGCACACCGGCTCGCCTTCGAGAAGTCTAACAAATAGGGTAAAATGTGTAACCCGGTACCCTGCAGTCTGGACTATTATTCTCACTGCTATTTCTTTTCCCTACTAAGCCTTTTAACACACAAAAATTCAAGAAGATAAAAATGCTCAGACGCAATATGCAACCATATGGCTATGAAAGCACTGATACAGTAAATTATAATCTAGAAGAGCTCTTTAAAAAAAAAAAGGAAAATACCATTTCAGCTATAAACTCTTTTAATCAGAAACAATGTAACAACAAGGCAATTCAGACCATCCCCTTCTCAAGATCAAGGCATCTTCTGCTGAATTGGAAAATGAAGTCCACAGCAACAACAGAGGTCTGACAAAAAGGGCCCCAATTCCCCATTTCCCCAAATGTTGTGCAGAACAAGAAAACATATTGCAAATTCAGAGCGACAGTTACACAATTACTTTGCACAAGTGTGAATAACAGGAAAGTATACACAGGTGCAGATACTCAGTCTCAAGGAAACAAGTAATAAAAAGCAGCAGACATTTACGGTTGCTCATGTAAATACGGCTGTTGAGATACAGTTGGACTGAACAAGCCAAGACAAAGACATACTTGCAAACACCTTTTGTAACTAAGGATTCAAAACCACTTCAGAGACAGGATTCCCCAGGAAAAAACATAACCCAGTCCAGAAGAAAAGTAATTACCAATATTATATTACATGTATCACTTAAATCAGCAAAAGGCTTTGCAGAAATAAACTTTTTTCAAAATTAAAATTTTAACAGGTAGTATTGTTTTTATTCAAACCTCTTTTCTTATACAATCCTGACTGTAAATGCTTTTAACATTGCCAAATTTCATATATTTCAGCTTACAGGATGCTATGCTATCGGCTTGCCCTAAGCTGAACATTTGCATGAGCTTGTTGCTTTGATCAAGTGATTTATTTTATGCTTTTGCCAAGAAGCTGCAATTGGCCCATGTTTTTGAAAAAAAGATGCAAGTAGGCAGATCAGGCTTTTCCTAAGAGGTTTTTTGTTTGGTGATGTTTGGATTTTTCCCCCTATATCAAGACGAAGACACCAAAATGGAAAAAAATAATTCATCTAGCACGTGCCCACCGAAGCTTGTTAAGATTTAGCACCTACGTTTCTGAAGATGCCATCTGTGCCTTACATGCCACCCACCCCCTTGGAGATCTTACTCACGGGTATGTTTTACTCCGAGCCAGCCTCACAAGCCAGTTGAGCACACTCCAGCAGGAGGTGGCGAACAGGACTTTTTGCAGATTTTTTTTTTTTTTTTAAACACAGTAGGCAGTACAGAAAGTAAGCACAGAGAGACACATTCAGTATGTCCTGTCTCTGTTCTCTTGGACCCTGCTAGTGAACTTTTATTCCAGAGGAGAGGGAAGCCATTTGTCCCAAAAGGCATCAGGGTAAGAGCAGGACAGTAAAAGAGGGAACCAGCAACTAAACGTCTATCAAGAGGAAACAGGCAGTACAAAATGATGAAAAGGCACAGACTAGATGAAAAGACAGTGAAGGATTCACATAGCAAAAAGCCCGAGACAAAGAGCTAGGGGAGAGAATTGAACAAGAACATGTGGCAAGGGAGAACAGATAATAGCTCAGATAAAAAGTCCAGGAAGAAAGATCAGGTGAGAAGAACGACTGGGATTTGAGCAGAGTTTGGAGGTCTGGAGTAGCAGGCAAAGCCAAGCTGAGGCAGGTCAGGGTGCAAAAAAGGTGACTTTGAAAAATGAGAGGTAACAGGCGTAGAGATGTCAAAGGGATCTGCAACTGCCTGAGCCCGATGCTAAAACAGAAGAACAGATTTTTCAAGTCTCCCAATTCTTCAGTCCTGTGTAAACCAACAAAGAGCCCTCCCCTGCTACTTCTGCTGGCACACATAGATGACAACACAGTATCCTTTCAGCTCCTCCTCTGACTAAAACGACAAAGGATTATGCAGCACATCTAACCTGTTCAGTCATGCTAATGAACCATGAAAGGTTCTGGCATGGCTTACAATATACCATTTCTGTGTCCAGTTTATAGTGTGTTTTTTTTAAAAAACCTAGGAAAATACATTAAAAATACAGTAACGGTGCTTAAGGTGGTTTCCTGCAAAAACCTTGAATTAGTGACCTGAATTGAATTCCATCCCTGTGGAACGTGCATCCGTGTGGAAGTGGCCAAACTAGGTTCAGGAAAAGAACCTGTCGGAACTCAATTGCTGTAACCACATGACTTATCCTTCATGTCTCTGCAATGGCTCATTCTACGCCTCACAACCCCTCCAGCCCCTGCAAACAGCCAAGGGTATGGTCCTGCAGACGCCTCCCTTATTCGGTCCTACAGACAGATCTACCCTGAAATTAATGCAGTAGCATCTTGGGATAAGAAAATCATATAAATAAAGGCTGTATTAAGACTGCAGATGAATAAAAGAAGTAAATTCAGGTCACAAAGGCATTCTTACATTTCCTCTATTGACTACTTGATTCTATCCTCTCCACATTTTATTTTTTTTTTTACAGCATAATCTCACAAAAAGATATCCAAGTGAGCAATGTTGTCATCAACATGAATTAACAAAAGAAATCCAGCATTTGATGTTTAGCCTATCTGTGTAACACAGCTGCACTTTTATACCTGGCAAACCACAGGTAGCTTCTAATTGAACATTCGCCTGCTTGTTCAAAACCTTTAACACTCTAGCCCAACACAAAATCTTTTCTAACCACAGGGTATTTGAGATCTAGACACAGTGTGTCTCTCTAAATTTCCTTTTCAATGCACCAGGGATGTGTAAAAACGTCAAGATAGATCTCCTCTTTGAGAAAAACATTCCCTTTATAATGAAAAACAACAGAACAAGCCATTCTAGCTAACTGTAGCTATTTTGGATTTCAAACGCTGCACAGTGCTGCACAGAGGATGGTTTGAATAGTCTGAAAAGGAAACGTGGCAACAGTTTCTATCAAGACACTGCTATTAAGCAGCAAGCATAAGGATGGTGTGCACACATATTCACTCCTGGAACCCTGTTAATCAGCATATTTTGATATGCTGGTTTATTTCTCTGGACAGTGGGGACATTGACATGTATTGTTTTTCTATACTGCAAGCAGAGTCCATAATAATCCAGTAATACCATTACCCAGCTATCCCTGCCTTTCCTACAGACCATATTGTACAAACAGTGTAAAAAAGTTCTTTTAGTTGAATCTTCATATCGTATGCGGACATCAAAGTCCTGTAAACTTAACTATAGAGCAAACATGGACTGTGCTGCATACAGAATTGTATTTTTATCCTCACTGCAACTGATACAATACTAAAGTTTCTGATCTTCACATACCATCTGAAATGCTTCATTTAATTACACTGCTATTATACCAGATCAGTACAGAGATAAGAAAGGCTACACATTCTTCCCGCCAAGTAAAAAAAGTTATGGTATTGCACAGAGCATGAACTACAACCACCAATCATTTCAGATTACTGCCAACTTGCTACAGCAGGATGAATCCTAAAATTAAACACTTGGCCCACAGCCTCCTGGCATAGGTGTTTTGAACTGTGAAGCTAACCAAAAATACCCCATTTGGCTGTCAAATTACAAACCCACCAAGAACAAACATTTTTACTTTTGGCAGTTTCAGCCTTCACATTTTCACCACCAAAGTATGGCAAAATCTTCACTGATAGCTATTCAGCAACAAAGGAGAAGCAAGGTTGATTAGAATTAAAAAAAAAAAAAAAAAAAAGTTTGCCTACATGCAAACCATCTCTCATCCCTTCCTCCTTCATCCTGCCTCAATTAAAAGTGCAGCAAAAGAAAACATTTTTGATTGAAAGACAGAAATACAATGGGAATAGAATGGGATTAAAAATCAATTTGGTTGTTCCAGTATTGGCCATGATCAAAGATCATGAATATTTCCATTACTGTTTGTCTAGGCCCAACATCCACAAGCTTCTTGAGTATACTTACAGGAATGCTGATGGAAAAGTTTGTATTTGTTTCAAATTGGATGCATATAAGTACAAAAAAAGGATATATACAAACCTTTGACTGTTGAGTGAAAAATGCAAAAACAACAGGCAGACCTTCCAGAAGTATCTGTACTTCAAGCTCCCTACTGCTTTTGATTAAATTTCCAGAGTCTTCAGTTCCTCATAGCTCTAACACTGCTGCCTCTCTCCGCACCAGCTCTTTTATCACTATGTCCCACTGCTTTGTGCTTGCAGTCCCTTCCAGCTACCCCAGCTTTAGCCTTTCTTCCCCCTTTTCAACTTCACCTTATGAAGTCACCTCCAAAGGTCCCTTCCAAGCCATATTACTGTAGCTTTATCTACTTTCTCCCAAAGTACCAAGGTACAAAGACATCCTCAGAAAAAGCC